TAATGACTGAATAGAATCGAGGGTTTTTCTCTGAAAATATTCTTCTAAAAGATACATTAACTTCATCTAAATATTTGAGACATTGTTTGAGGTGACATGGGTGAGTCACGTTTGCGCTGTGACAAACAAACAGGCTCCTTTGCATCCGTTTAAAACGAGCAATTTTTTTATTTTTAAACATACAGAAAGATTTTGATTAAATGTTTCATCACATGTGCGAGGAGATTAAAACATTGAAGATGATACTTAAAATAAGAAACTTTTAAAGATGCTGAAGTGATTGATGTGGAATAAATTATACTTTAGTTGAAATGTAAGCAAAAACCACAGGAAATGTAAGCAAAAAACCACAGTATCCTACCAAATGTTTATTTAAAGTCTTAAGATTAGGCTTTGAAATCATTATTAACACAGCCATAACATTCGGTTCGGAATAACAGAATAACATCTCAGATCATCTGGTCTAACTCATCCCTCACCAACCCTTCTCTGTGAGGGTCCATCAGTTTCACATTTGGGATTACCCCGGGGAGAACCTGCGAGGTTTTGGTTAAGATTCAAATTAAACTTTTTATTTATTTATTTTGTAAATCACTCATCCATGTTTGGACATCGTTGCGTAAAGTCTCTTAGCACTCTAAAAATTTAAGGCATAATTTTTCATATTTATTGTGACCTAAAATTATATTAAATGTTTATTTTATACAGCATGTTATATATAATTACAGTTTTATTTGCTACTATCTTCTTTAAATGAAGAGAATAGTGTGTTTAATAAGTTCAATAAGCTTAAATAAATGTTGAATACATGTTTAAATGTATAATTTTGCTTCAGTAACATGTTACTATGATGTCATATATTTTATTACCATATTATTTAAAATAGAGATAAGTTTCTCTTTAGCTCGAAATGTTTATTTATGTATGTTCTTGTTTATATTACTTATCAGGATGCATATTTTTATAATGACATAGGTATTACAATTATATAACAACATAAATGTGTTTACGAGGATATTTCTTGAGTCCTCATAATTAAAATTCTTACAAACAATATTTAATTAAAAATGTAAACATATGCAGAGATTTTTGTGTGATGGGTAAGTGTTTGTACAGTACAAATTCATTACGCCTATGGAGCATCCCCAGAAAACATAAAAAACAACGTGCGTGTATGTGTGTGTGTGTGTGTGCAAAATGGCGGCAGGTTGTAGGACACTTGCTGGTGCAGGTGAACGCCAAAATGCTGCTTGGAAAAATTAAACAACCACACCCATTGTAATTGCCATCGTTAATGTAAATAGGTGCAGATAAGATGTTTTGGCAATTATTGTGGACAATGTGCTTGATCGCAACAATTAAGCTTGCATACAAACAAGCATTACTCACCGGGAGAATTTACCAACAACCACTGTTACCTCCTGTTTCCTCCCATGGATTCCATCTACCAGTAGAAGAGCTTACGTTTTCCAGCAGTATGTTCGCCCGCTGTCTGAGGATCAATGGATGACTTTTCAGTCTCATGAAAAAATCTACAGAGATCGTCTGAACACCAAACGCCAGCGTGAGAAGAACTTTGTTTCCTCTGGTGATCCAGGAAAGTGGATAACGCTAGCTGCACAGCTAAACTGGATATTCTTCAAGAACGGAGTTTTTACAGCGGAAAGCCACAATGGTAAGCATTTTGGATTACAAAATCCTGAAATATGTGGCGAGAGTTCTGAGGAAGTTCCCGGCGATACAACCATATCCTGAGAATTTAACACTGACTGCATCCGCGAACAGCTGCGCTACCTGCGGGAAACCGTTCTGCCCTCTCTGCGGACACGAGCGACTTACGGCCAGCGGAACAAAAAGTTGAGAAGAAACAAACTCGCATATCTGTGGCAGCATAGAAGATCTAAAGCGACCCAAGTCATCTTAAACAACAGTGAATTTGCCGACCCTTCCCCCTGTTCTAGTGACATTGCAGCTATACAAACTTATTATGATAATAAATGCCTAAATCAGAGGCGTAATGAGGATCGTTCTTTCCAACCCTGGTATTTGAACGTGCTGCCACCGAAGCCAACTATTTTCCCTGAAACAACGCATTTCACATATAAGGAGGTAGAGACTGTGTTAAATAATCTTCCTAATAACAAAGCAAGTGGTAGTGATGGCATGACATATGATACTTTTAAAACCATGCAGTCATGTCAGATTTTAACAAATGTCTTTAATGTCTGTTTGGAAAATAAGAAAGTACCAGATTCATGGAAAGGAGCACTAATTCATCGTATTCCAAAAAAAGACAACGTCCCTGATGATCCATCGACATGGAGGGATATATCCCTCCTTCCTACCATCTCTAAGGTGTTCATGAAATGCATACTGGCCAGAGTTCTTCCTTGGCTGATGGAGGCTGATATCTTATTCACCAAGCAAAAGGCATACATCAATAAGCAAGGTATGAATGAACATGTATTTTGCCTTAAAACAGGGATAGATGACTTTAAGCATGAGTCATGTAGACTGTATTCAGTCTTCTTAGACTTTAGAGATGCATTTTGAACACTATCTCATGATGTCATGTTCAGATCACTGGAGGAAATACAGCTACCTCAACTGTTCATTGACATAGTGAAGGATGTTTATAGAGGCTCCTTTATTGAAGTAATCTGTGGAGAACAGCTCACTCACCCAACACCACTTCAGATAGGCATTAAAACTAGCTGCCCTTGGAGTGCAGTTAATTTTATAATTGTCATCAACCAATGGTTAATGTGGCTGTGTCAGTGTGCCCCCTCTGGTGTGATATCTCCTATCCCAGTACAGGGCTATGCAGATGATGTCCAGATTGCCTCCAGAGAAGAGAGCGTAATTAAAAACATGCTAGCCAGAACATATGTTTTTCTGAAATGGTCAGGCCTGGAGATTAAGGACACAAAATGTACTATTCTGTATGAGAGGTGGAGTGGAGGGAACAGGTGGTACCGCTCAAAATCTGATAAATGTCCAGTGTTTACAGTAGCAACAAAACCTATACGTGTATATTCTCTTCACGAGACATACACTTATCTTGGACATAAAATTAATATTGCAGGAGAATGGAAAGAGCAAGTAGACATCATCCTGTCAGAGTTCACATGCAGGCTGGACCTGATTGATAAATGTCTGCCACTGACCATGAAGCTGGAGGCTATTAGACAGGTGGCACTGTCTAAAGTACAACATCTGTTCTCCAACGTTCATATCCAGCAGAAAGTGCTGAGCGAAATTAATAACAAAACAGTGAGCTTAGTGCGATAGTGGTTTGAACTAAATACACATAGCACTCGTGACATTATTTTTCATCTCCAATGGGAAGGAGAACTGGGGGTACCAAACATGATATGGATTTATACCAGCATGCGGATTTCCCACCTTCTGAACATGCTGAATAATGATGACAAAAATGTTAGGGAGCTGGCTCAATCCTCCCTGTTCCTGGACCTCAGGAGACGCAAGGTGCCGTTAGCCAGGGAATCAGAGCCCCACTTTCTCGGCTTCAAAAGAAAACCGAGCAGGAAACTGGACACTCACTCTGCTAGTTTTGATGTCTGGTCAGACTGGCCGGACCTGCATGATCTCTGTGTAAGAACTGGAGTATCACTGGAGTGGGCCCGGTCTGACTCTGAGAGTGTGAGGGTCTCAGAGGATATAATCACTGACCCACAGACTTATGTCAGAGCAACAGCCACATTCGGTGAATATAGCCACCCGCTAACATCCGCAGGTGCCCGGCGAACTCTCATGGATTTACATCAGTATCACCAAAAACAACACTGGACTGGACTGAACCTTCAGGGAAAACTTGCATGTCTTCCCTCTGCTGATCACTCAGTTTCTCACTCATTTCTCAAGAATACTGCACTCAGTGAGGACATTGCC